TAAGCCACTGATTATATTTAGATAATATATATCATCATGCAAATCCAAAATACTGCTGAGCGAAGCAGTATTGATTTAATTATTTATTAAAAAATAATCAGGCATTTTCTAACAATATTCTAAAAAAGAATGGAATATTGAATCAACATGGCAATCATGAACAAATTAAATTGATTTAAGTTGTGTCGTCTGTTTCATCAACGAATTTTCTCATCCAAACACCTACTTAATTGACTTAGCATCGTGTAAATTTAAAATACAAAAACACCGAACTTACCAGGCACCGAAAAAACTGAATTTGAAATCGGTGACCTACATTCTGTATATTGAGTCTGTCTCTTATACACATCTAGATGTGTATAAGAGACAGATATATTCTCCCTGGGCAACTCGAAGCTCTTACATAATCCCATCATCAATTTCATTACCGCCGATAAGACAATGTTCGTTCGGATATAATTGATATCATTGCTGAATCCTCAATGACCATTCAGTAATAGTCTGCAACCTGTCGTCTATCAGCGGGTGTCCTGAGTTGTAACTGCACTTAATAAGGCCTTGGCCTTTATATGTTCATCATTATTCATTTGAAAAATCTCCCTCAGAAAATGACAAATTCAACAGAGAAATATAAGTCTGAAATACCAATATTGTTTTGGTTGGTGCTAGACGCATATAACTCCTATATGCTATGCCTTCTCGCACGGCAGCCCGCAGGGCTCCATCCCATAGGAAATTGGTGGGGAGAGATACTGTATTATTACCCGACCAACAGAAGTTCAAAACTAAAAGAGAAAAATACCGTAGCATTTCTGATGCTCTAGAAATGTACGATCAAGAATTGTTACAGGTTTTTTTCCGGTCCTGAAACTGGCAAATATATTTCATTCATTAACTTTATTAAAAGGGCCTATACCGAAAATTAATTAACTCTCACTTGACGATACAGATGTAAAATATAATAGGCCCCTACATCCTTTTTTATTGGTCTACTTCCACCGTTGTTTGTTAAATAATCTCGGAAACAGTCACAAGCGATCTAAATTGATACCACGAAATTTTCCCTAGAAAATTGTCTTTCCCCCACCCCTCCAGAAAAGAAGAAAAACCAAAATTCGTTAGGGGAGAAAAATGTTTTATGTATTTTCTACATATTAGTAACTATCTATATATAAAATCGATTAAATAAGCCTCTGAACCACTAAAACTGTCATATTTTTCGGGGGCTCCACCCCGGCTCCTGTACCACTTTCCCAACATTTTTGTCGACAACTGACCACGCCCACTTTTCCCGACCAAAAAATCGTAACTTGGTCCTTGTCCGTCACATCCATCCCACCTCGATTTCAGACGTTAGCGTCACAGATGTTTACAGCTGTAGAGAAGATCTTGTTTTTAAACCACCGGAAGCAAATTAGTGATTGCTCAGGCAGAAGGGTGCAAAACAGTTAATTCCCCTCTTGAGAATTAACGTCCCCTCTTGAGAATAAAGTTAGCAGATCGAAAAAATAGCAATCTGAGACATTCAAAATGATTTCGGAAGTCAACAACAGAAGTTTAGAAGTATTGAATAAATTCATCGGATCCCATAATAGATAAATATGGTTCTTTTATAATTATCCAAAAATCAAGTAAGGGTGATGTAAACTTACAGATGGACTTGACATCACAGATCACATGACCACACACTATCATATTCCTAATTGGAATACTGTCAATATTCTAGCCAAGGAAATCGAATGGAACATCAGAATAATTAAGCCACTGATTATATTTAGATAATATATATCATCATGCAAATCCAAAATACTGCTGAGCGAAGCAGTATTGATTTAATTATTTATTAAAAAATAATCAGGCATTTTCTAACAATATTCTAAAAAAGAATGGAATATTGAATCAACATGGCAATCATGAACAAATTAAATTGATTTAAGTTGTGTCGTCTGTTTCATCAACGAATTTTCTCATCCAAACACCTACTTAATTGACTTAGCATCGTGTAAATTTAAAATACAAAAACACCGAACTTACCAGGCACCGAAAAAACTGAATTTGAAATCGGTGACCTACATTCTGTATATTGAGTTGGTTATAAAGAATTATGAACATTGTCAGTTTAATATTAGTATATTAGAATAATTATGAATCTGCATGAGTTGAAAATGATTAGGCCTATTGCTCAATATCGATTTAGAAAGAAAATTCACCTGTTTCAATACAAATATGTTTGAAGTCACGTTTAAAATGACTAATTATGCCTACAGCTGTTTTGTGATTGAATACCACGTCTACGAGCGCTTTTTGATGGGAGCATTTATATTCTGGTAAAATGCCGGGTGTTAAATTCCCCCCCCCCCCCACCATCGTTCGGCCCGTAAATTCGGCGTCTGTACATTATGTTCATATTGTAGAGAATGTGCGCCCTCCAGGTCTAATTCTCCACAATAGGGAACGGGTGAAATCCTGCCCAACAGGCTGAGAAAGACCGAAACAATAATTATTACACTTTGTTTTTGTATTGCATTTGTTAATACACAATGTGTCACTGAAATCGTATTTTAGTCCCTATAAAATCTTAAAAGGCCTCCGGCGACCAGGTGGCTTACCGCGTGGTGATCCATGAACCTGCGTGTTCTACAGCGACAGAGCAAGTGGTCTCATTAGGCCATTATATATGCCTACTACTTCCCTTAAAAATGTCTTTTCAACATGGCGACCATTATGTTTCTTTTAGGTGAAGGGAAAACCAAAGAGTACTGGCAAATGGAAACTCGTGTGTTTCTACCTTATACTATCTTATACATAATGATTAAATGAGTCGCATAAATGAAATAAATATCATCAACATAAATGCATTATACTTTAAAACACACTTTTTAATGGAAAAAATTGTCAGAACATAATAACTTTAATAATGAAAACACCAACCAACATGTACATATTCAGATCCACATATAAGGTAAAGCTATACATAAAACGTATTTACAGGTTCTTAAATGTGCATAAATTAGTGGGGTTTTTTTACACAAACTTGGATGGAATGATAAAATATAAAGTAAAAAAGAAACTTGGCTAGAACTAACCAAATGTGTACCTAGTTATTGCTGTCTATCTAATTACACTCAAATTATATATAAATTAACTTTTCAAAAATTGATTCTCATCGGCGTCTTTTCTACAGTTATCTATTGTTTCGCATAATAATTCGTTGGTAATTCGTATGTATAAATGAATTAAATATGCGACATAATAAATATAGTAAAGTTAGAAGGAATGATAAAATAAGGGAAGCCAAAGAATAACTATATGGATGGTATTAAAACACACCTTGGAGGAATCTTAAAAGTTGCGCATGTTTAGCAGAAAGCAAAGGATAGATTTCCCAATGGAAAACAGTGATAGCCTATAGGCACGGCATTTCAGTAGTGAGGCTATTGAATGTGGCTCAAGCGTGTTAACTATGATGCGGCTCAAGTGTGTTAGCTTATGATGCAATATGCGTTACCAATGGAAGGTCAAAATAATTTAACTCAACCACAACTGTCTAATAACTGAGGCATATCAATCAATGCTCTCAAAATATGAAAAAAAAAAAAAACTATAATCAATAATTAATCCAAAGCCAATGATAGCATTGAAGATAAAAACAAAAATTAAATAATTAATTATTCTTAGAATGATTTTTCGTCTTGGATAATTCAATATGTATAATTATCAATACGTCATAACCAACATATGGCTGTGGCCCAAGATAAAACAAAAATGTCATTACTTATTATTTATATAAATTTTTTATGTTATGATCATGATTATTAATGACAATTATATTATTAATATAATATTATTAATACAATAAAAATAATCTAATAGCAATTTTGGTACTGCACTTAAAATTGTAACTTATTTTAG